AAATACATTTTTTATACAATACTTTATTATCACAGAATTACATTAATGGTCTTTTATATGCCCATAATTTATCATGATCATACATAGTATGAATCTTTTCATACATATATTTAAAAAAATATAAAAGATCATCATATTGACCTCTATATCTTTGATCCATTTCAGGTAACTCATTTACATACTGCTGTGCAATATTATTTGTAGAATTTTCTTCGTTAACTGCTTTTTCTTCAGAGCTTTTAATGCTAGCATATCCTTGAACCATACCAAATGCACATGTATGCAATTCAATTAAAAACTGATGAATTGCTTCAATGGTAGCTAAATACCATCGTGGACTTTCCTTTTGGTGGCGCCAAAATTGTGATATTCTTGATTTTAGAATAACACATTGTAAATCTATGAATTAATAACAGTCATTACTTCAAATACCTTCATTTCAATATTTATATGCCTTTATGTATTTTGAAGATACATACAAAACTAGTTTTATTTATAAATAATGGTATTTTTATATTTACCCCGTAATCTTTGATCCTTATAAATAGCTTTAGTTTGATGCCATGTACTATCAATGAAAATAGCTTTTTTTATAGGAATCATATTTTTTATCCTTTTTGTAATTATTTCATTGTCTTCTATAACCACTTTTGTAAATAATGAATCTACTGTTACACCAGTTTGGCTAGGAAAAATTAAAACAGTCTATCGGATGATATTATTTAGGTCAAATTAGAATTCATAGAACTTAAATTATTAAAATTACACTGTTGTCATTATACCTCTTCTTTGTTTAAAATTTCTGGAAAATCTGGATATGTAAAAATTTTTACATCCTCTGGTGCAAGTATAGCTGCATGAGCTGCAGTACTTTTTCCATCGATTTCACGTGCATGCTTAATGATATCAATTTTGACAGGTAACTGGAAAAAAATGTACTTATTAATATTAGTGTAATTTAAAATGGGTATTAGAAAAATGATTAATACCTTTATTCTTGGAAAATAGTTTTCATTGATTACAGGTAAACAACATGAATAGCAGAAGAATTTTCGTGATTTAAAACAATGATCACATATTTCTCTGCCCTCTACTGTATCTAAAATTTGAGCATTACCAATTTTTAAATGACGAAAAGGCATCTTATCAATTATTTTCTGCTCTTTTTCCATGTTTGAATGTTTCTTAATATTTCTTATTGCTTCACTTTTCGCCATGATTGTAATACCGCGCAAATATCGTTACCTCAACATACAGTACAAGTGCCACTATTAATGACGTTTTACATAACTGTTACAATAATGTAAACTGTTGACAGTTACGTTATTAAATGTGAATTGTGCGTATATTAGTTAATGAAATTAATTTCTGATCATTTACTATGTGCTCCATCTGTTGATCCTATTGTGTATCATTCCAGTTCATTGGGTAACCACTGTTGCTGACAGCGTCTTTTCTGATAATAATCGTCACCAGATGGCATGCCAGTATCGAATCATGCTTAGGTGAACAAATCGTTTTCAAATTAAATTGTCCAGAAATAATTTAATCATTGTCGCAGTACTTATACATGTAAGCTTTGCCACGTTTCATATAATTATTGTAAGTACGTTTTATCAATGTTGCAGTACCTATATTTAAAAAAACACATGTAATAAAAAAGAAATAGTAGCATTTAATATATTGATCAATCTATCGTAATGAATAGATGCAACGAGTCTTGATTAAAGATTAGCAGTTGGCCTTGCAAGTTCAATTCCGAATAGATTTCTATGAAGATAGATTAAGTTGCAATTTATGAATTCTCTAGTTTTATATTTTTATCTTTTAATTAGAACCTTTGATCGCTGCGAGCAATCATACATATATTGACGTCTAACGAGGAGGCAACGCTTCAATTATTGCTTTCATTTTTCAATAATTAGCTGATGAGGAACGTAGGTTACAAGGAAAGGAATGGAATCTGTGTTATCCATGTTCCCTTCTAATTTAGAATTTCTTTCATCCGAACGATTAATTGAATTTTTCTTGAATCTCTCGGTATGCTCTGTTCTGTCGCGATGAAATCACGTAATTACTCGTCCTGCTAGTAATGAAACAGAAAACTTTAAACGAACTGAAATAACCTGTGTCTGTCTCGCAGGCAGACTCTACGTTTCAAACGTAGAATTTTTATAATACATTGATATTTATGTAAGTACTTGTTGATATAAAAAAGAAAAAATAAAGGATAACAGAAAAATACATTTCCCGTGAACAATCCAAATTGATGAAATTATATTAAATCTTGAATTAAATTCTGGAAGTATGTTCTGAAAATTATCAAACGTTAATAAAGTTCTCAAAATGATACCATAGGTTATGGAATAATTTCAGTCATTGTTGCATTTTCTTTCACAGAATTTGTTTAATATTTTCTATAAAAATTTGAGGAATTTATCTGATTTGTATAAAGGAATAATTATTTTAAAAATTGAAATATTAAAATATTGAATAAAAATATTACGTGAGACAAATATAGTGATGCCCGCAAGCGTATTAACATTTTCAGTAATAATAACCTAAAAAAAATTTTCTTAGTACAGTCCTTCAAGCCAAGTTAACAAAATTATTTTGTCACAATATCATTATTCTTTTTCATATACAGGGTGATGGAAACTATATTTCGGAAAGTATGTTGAATTGGAAAATCTGTTTTTAGAGGATTAAAGATGAGATGGAAGGGGACACTAGTGCGTGCAGGTGTCAGTTCGCTGAGTGCAAGCGTTATGGTCATTTCACAGTTAGTTGTATTTATTTAAATGACACAGTATATCTTTTTCTACAGAATGATAGAGCGTAATGAAACGAATTCAACGACCTCATATGTTGCATGGTCAAAGCTTTATACATATAGAGTGAGACATGAAAAATAGAACACAAATTCCTATTCCTAGTATTTAAAAATATAAGAATTCCATATTTATAAAAAGTGAGCCTGATAAACATAATTGTTTTTCAAAGATTTCTTCCGAATTATTAAGGTTAATGGTTTTCTTCACCATTTTTGGTTAGTAAAACCATAAACATTTTTGTATTGTGCATTTTAACCTATATTAAAAGGAAAGGCGCGTGATGTGTTCCTAAATAGATTTTTTAACCTGAAAATGAATTACTCTTATTGTCATTGGAAACTGTAGATTTGAGGAAAGTAAATACTATATTTCATTTAGCCTGTTTCTAAGCATGCGTTATTATTAAGCCGTTGCAAGTTAAACATGAAAGTTTGAAAAAATTAATTTTGCACGTTGAAAGAGTAAAAATTAAAATTATTGTCAGACTGTTTCGCAGCAGACAATTAAATTAAGTTTGGTGTACTCGTAAATAAAAATACGTAGTTTTATTTAAAAAATAAAAGGAACTAACTACATTGTTTTTTCAAAGAAAAAATAAACGGTCGGTAAATTCTTTTTTTGTACTATATTTCGTAATTCATCCTGTACAAAAATACAACGTATTCTATTGGAAACTATGATCGCAAGAGTGGAAATAGCAATAATATTCTTCAACAACACTTTTTAAGCAACAAAAATATACGCGTCAATGTAAAAATATTAATCGGAATCCTTAAACAGTTCTTCTGTTATTTAAACGAATAGCCTAAAGTTTCACTTATCACTTACCACTCATTAAAGTTTTAATTAATATTCCGTCTATTTATAAAAATTTAAATATTAATATTAATATCAGTGTAACGTTACAGAATAACATCTACCAATGCACTACTCTTTCATTAATATTTATTTTTCTTTCTGTAAACGTTACAAGAAACCGAACAAATTTGTATTCACATCCTTAATCTTTATTTGTAATTCAATGCTGAATTCGGCGTTAAAGAAAGCGATCTTTAAGAGAAAATTGAAATTCATTCAAATTTTCTCACGCTCCTCTGCTAAAATTTGACATTAGTATGCAAATAACGATCGTGAGGACAACGAGCTTACGCGTTATACCTGTTTCGTAGGCAGATTCTTTGGAAGTTACACCAAGGGCGGCGATCTGGCTATTGTAATTTGTAATTTCTACCGAATATATTAAATCGCAACTTATATTACCGTCAATGGAATCGCCCTTTAACATTTAGCTTTCACATCTCAGAGAGTACGGTGCTGTGAATTTTGCTTGATTATTAAATAAAGATACTTCATAACGGTATAACCTCTTTTCATCCATCTAAACTTCAGTCAACCAAATAGCACACCCGTATTAAGGTTTCACAGATATTTATACATTTCTAAAATACCGTAAAATACCGTGTTTTAGAAATTTTCTTTTTTCTTTAGGGTCTTAATAATTTTGTAATGACTTTTGTGTGTCAAATAATTTTATATTAAATTTGTGATGATAAAGAGGCTCGCTTCTCATTCAGTAAATAGATTTTAGTAGATTTCAGTAGACGTCCATGGAATTCAGTAGATTTTGCCAACATTTAGTACATTTTAATAGAATTCAGTAGATTTCATTGAAGCTCAGTAGATTTTAATAGAATTCAGCAGATTTCATTAAAGTTCAGTAGATTTTAATAGAACTCCAGAAGATTTTAGCTGATTTTAATAGATTTTGGTGGATTTCAGCAGAGTTCAGTAGATTTCAATAGATTTCACTAGATTTCAATAGATTTCAGTATGCTTCACTTTCAGTGAATGTCCTAATACTTCTGAACGGCGGTGCATATGAACACAAATAAAGAAATAAATAAATAGATAAATGAAAAATAGGCAATGCAATAAATATACTTGCAAGTTTTCTTTCTGATAATAACCTTATAATATACATCTATCTAATCAGTCTTTCTTTAATTACCGTCTCTTATGAGAGAGAAATTCTCGCCTTGAAGTTAAACACGAGGCGAATGATTGATCCCTTTTGTTTCGAGATTCACCCGATAAAGTTCCACGAAAGGGTGCGAATACACTGGTCGTTTGAGTACAGCTTTATTCGAACATACTTCAACGACTAATTAGTTTGACTTTAAATCTAACACAGGATCAGATTTATACGCGACAACGAGTAATCGTGTTGGAAAAAAGTATGCTCGAAGACTCTTTCGTTATTCGTGTTCAATTGTATGTACATGTACGGTTACATCTATTTAGAGCCATCTCGCCACTCACATATTACACGTCATATTCCATCGAGTTCTCTATTTCCGTGGACATATAATTTCGAGGAATACGGATTAAATCATCTACCGCGCGAATTGCACTGATACTTTTATTTGTGCATCTCTCCCCCCCGACTCTATCAATCGATAAAATGATACAAACTTGTACGTATCAAATGAAAAAAAAAAGTAACTAAACTGAATTTTTTCCTTTGAGAACTCATAACGATGCAGAAACTAAAAGAAAAAAGTACATTTTTACTCTACCTTCGAAAGGAAATTTGTCAGCTTGAAAACGCGCGAAACCTGGGAAAGAGAGATATATCGAAGCTAAATAACGTCAAACAAGTAAAGAGACATGCTACAATCGTTAAGAGTAGCAGTACTGTATCCCTTTAAAATATCACCTCTCGAATACAATACACAAGTGCCACTGTGTTTGCCACTCTTCACCAAGAGATCAAGGGTCAACTTTTGTGACACTCTTTTGCGAAGATTTTTTTTTTGCAGCTTGACAATACGAATAGTGTCGAAATTATTGCCTTTGATCCTCAATTTCGACTTGACAGAGAAGAAATCGCAGTAAAGAAGTTTCGTCTGGTGCGAGCTTCTACGTAACCGGTCCTTAACCTGTGTTCCTCGGAACACTGGTGTTTCGCGAAATTATGAAAGCGCTGTAGCTAGGAAAGTAGGTACGCTTGAAAGAATCTTAGCGTAAATGCGCAGTGCGCAAGTTTACAACGCAGGTAAGATGCAAATTGCATTAGTTTGGTAGTTTTATGAAGTGATTTTGGTGTTGCGCAAATTTTCCTCACAATCAAAAGTGTTCCGTGACGTCGAAAAGGTTGTAAACCACTGTCCTACCTGTTCAAAATTAATTTCTAATCCTATGAGAATGACTTGGTGGTCAGACTGACATGTGATACTTGTCTTCCATAATTTTTTGATTTTCTAAAAATAGGTTATGTCAATAAGAAATTGTTTTTCAATTTCGTCCATCTGTCCTATTTTTCTCACTCGGTACCAGAACATGCACTTACGTAAATTGTTGTAAAACCAGGCGTGTTCAAACTAACAAATCGAAAATTACTCCGAATGTAGGGTAAGGACATGGCCATCCAGGGCCGCGTTTATACTTTTGGAGGCCCTAGGCGCAACATCATTACGAGACCCCAAAAGAACAAGCCTTAA